AATCATTGTGTTTGTGTTGTTCTTTCTGGAAAGTATTTCAAGGCTTGAAAATTGATCAGAAGACCAAAAAGATACCTTGTGTTGGTGAAGAATATGCTGGGAAGGACAATGTTTTGTTTTCTATTACTGAACTTGTATGTCGACTTTTTTCAACAGAGAGACCAAGAATACTGGATCTTATCTGATCATCTTGGGTCTGAGTGAGCTAAAAGCCAAATACTTGGAAGTTGACTGCCATCACAAGTCTGGCTACTAATTTTTTTTTAAAATGTATACTTCATGAAAAGTGACCAACTACAAGAAGTTTGAAATCAGACCAGGTGACTTGAATGGAAGTAATTGTAAACTTTTCACATTTTCGACTTCTTCCAAGAACCAACAATTTTAATCCAAACTTGGTACAAAGCATCCTTGGGTGAAGGGGAGTTTAAATTGTTAAAATAAAGGGCCAAGTCCCCTTACAAGGGGAGATAATGAAAAGACAAAAAAGTTCACTAAAAAATCTTCTTCTCAAGAACCACTGAGCCAGGAAAGCTGTAAATATGTGGAAGCATCCTTGGGTAGTGAAACAATTGTTAAAAATGACCCCCTAGGGCGGGAAGCTTGACACAATAACAGAGTGTAATGGCAAGTTTTACATGAATATATAGAACAAATCTTTAAAAATTCTTACAAGAACCAAGCAGGAAATGAACTGGAAATGTAGTGAGATGCATTAAACAAAATCATGACCCCCGGGGGTAGGGCGGGGCCACAATATGCATAGGTCAGCAATGAGGAACCCTTTGAATCCAAGTTTTACATAGAAATATAAAACATAATCTTTAAAAAATCTTCTTTTGAACCACTTGGCCAGAAATGCTAAAACTTATGTGTTAGCATTCTTGGGTTGTGTAGATTAAATTTGTTAACAAATCAATGAACTTTAATCCCACACAAAATTTTATATGACTACATATATATATTAAAAATCTTACTTTCAAAACAATGATATCAAAAGGATCACAAAACTATTTTTGATGACATCCTTGGGTAGTGTAATTTAATCCCCATGTTAAAATTATGCTTCTACAGTATTATGGTATGCTGTTTTTGGAAATCCAAGTTTTACATAGAAATATATAGAACAAATCTTTAAAAATTTGATTTTCAATCACCTACTGGACTTTGATACGAACTTACATAATAATTTGAATAAAGGATGTATTCACTTTGACAAAAGAACTGACCTACAGAAGAGAACAAGTGACATTGAAAAATTAATCTTTATTTGTTGTTTTCTACTATATATGTCTAAATTTTTCAAATTTGTATTTTATACCTAAAATTTATTATTTACAACTTTACAGTAAACCTCCAAAGTTGGCGGGGCCACCGATAAATCATTGATTTTTGCATGAAATATATTGGCAAATCTTTAAAAATCTTCTCTCAGGGCAACCACTGAGCCAGGAAAGCTAAAATTGTGAGCATTTTGATAGGTGTTGGATATAATTGATTAATTTAAGATAGGAATTTTTTTACATAGAAATATATAGAACAAATCTTTAAAGGATCACTTCATTATAAATAGGAACCTATAACTTATGTGGAAGCATCCTTGTAGTGTTTTATTTTTACAAAAATTGTTCGATTTCCGTTCTGATTAATAGGGATCCAGTTTTACATAGAAATATATATAACAATTTGTCCTTTAAAAAATCTTCTTTATTTCACTGAGTAGATATAGCTGAGGAACTATTTTATTGGGATTTTCTAGTTAGTTATCTCCATATGTAATAATTTATATTTGTCTTTAAGGGTGTTTTGCATGATAGGTATGCATAAAAGGGGGAAATGTAAAGACTGTCTCTGAAATTCTATTCTTTATGTATAGGCTATTTATGAGCGTGGATATAATAAAAACTTGTCATTAAAATGTGTATACTTTGAAAAGGCCTAAATGAAATCAGACCAGGTGACTTGAATGGAAGTAATGTAGCCCAAATCAATGTAATTACAAGTCCAGGAATATATAATTTGAAATTTCAATATTTGTACTAGGGGTGTTGGAAAAGTTCTGAATTCTAGCTGTAAATTGTGAGTCCTGTTTAGCATGAAACAATTAAAAAGACTGAAGAACCTTGACAGTCACCTGAGTAACAGAGTATAATGGCACAGTGTAAATGAATTGTAGAATGCAATTAAAAATTTTACAATAAAGCAAAATGAACTAATGTAGGATGATGCACTACAAAATCAAGAGAAATCGGGGATGCATTTCTGCACACTAGACTTGAAGAATATTTGAGATTGGAAAAAAAATATAACTTGCAACACTTTTTGAATTGGGATATGTCTATAAACTGTAAAAGCACGAATTGGCAGATTAAATTTCGTTAACAATTATCAATGAACTTTAATCCCACACAAAATTTTATATGACTACATGTATATATTGAAGAAGGTTACTTTCAAAACAATGATATCAAAAGGATCACAAAACTATTTTTGATGACATCAACGAAATTTAATCCCCATGAAAATTAGTGCTTCTACAGTATTATGGTATGCTGTTTTTGGAGGTACGGGTTGCTAGATCTCTACATTTGATTTTCAATCACCTACTGGACTTTGATACGAACTTACATAATAATTTGAATAAAGGATGTATTCACTTTGACAAAAGAACTAGGGATCTGATGACCTACAAGAGCCAAATTTCATGCAAAAAGTGACATTGAAAAAAATCTTTATTTGTTGTTTTCTACCGTATATATGTCTAAATTTTTAAAATTTTTATTTTATACCTAAAATTTATTATTTAAAAAATTTACAGTAAACATATATATGGCCTAAACACCATTTTGAGATAAAGATTGATTTTTTAAACGTAGAACTTTTTCAGGGCAGGCCTGCCCCTAAATAAAATTGTTCTTTTGATAGGTTTGGATATAAGGATTCTTTTGTTAAAGCGAATACATCCTTTACAAAAAACCTACAAAAATAAGGAAACCTGATTTTGATATCTGTTTCAAATTTATAACTATAAATATTATTATAATAGTCAGATTAGCTCAATTGATATATGCGCTGACTATTACACCGTGCAAACTAACATTTTAAAGTCGGGGGTTCGAATCCACCTGGTACCACACTTTTAAAGTTTTAAATTTTCGCCTTTTCAAAGACTATTTTAATAATTTTTATAGCCTTGTGTATTTTCCTTCAATTATATATCCTTTATGCATGCCCATTCTTGATATAAGAAACACTAAAGAGATATCAAATTGTAAAAATCCAATGTACAGTTGTCAGTCAGGTGGAACAAACCTCAGTATAAGCACACTTTCTCCGAGAACAATAACTCACTCTGTGTTACTCAATACAGGTACTCTTGGCAGCATTGAGCTGCCATAAATGTTAATTGTATATATTCCTTAGAATTTAATAACATTGATTTTGGCGACATACATATCAGTAACTGTACTCCCTTGGATTTGATTTAGGCCTATATAATTTGCACACATTAATGGAATATTTTACTACATTCAGGGATAAAATTGCCTAGACATAAAGAATAGAATTTCAGAAGCAGTAAACATTACCATTATGCACATGGAGAAGTTAAGACAAATATCAATTATTACATTTTGAGATAACAAACTCAGGAAATCAATGAAAGGGTTCCTCATACCTCTACTCACTGAAAAAAAAATTTAGGAAAAACAAATTGTTATATGTATTCAGCCTAATGCCATTAATCAAAACGGAAATTGATAAGGTTTTTGTAGAGAGAAAAACCAAGCCAGGTTCCTATAGGTCAAATCCCTATTTATGTGATCCTTAGAATCTACACTACCCCAGAATGCTTCCATAATTTTTTATTATTATAATTATATAATAAGATTTTTCCCGTATAATATTTAATGTAAAATTTTGATTTTCCATTGTGGCTCCATCCTACCCCCCATGGGTCGTGAATAGAACAAATTAGAATCTGCACTACACCAGGATGCTTCCATATATGTTTCGGCTTTTCTGGCCCAGTGGTTCTTGAGAAGATTTTTAATAACTTCACCTCATTTTTTGCCTTTTCTTTATTATCTCCCTTTGTATGGGGAAGTGGCCCTTCACCCAAAAATGCTCTACACCAACAATGGTTGAAAATGGCACAGTGGTTCTTGAGAAGAAATTGAAAATGTGAAAAGTTTACAGTTGGACAGAAAGACAGATGGCAGACAACAGGTGATCAGAAAAGCTTATTTGAGCTTTCAGCTCAGGTAAGCTGAAAAGGAGGAATATGGTAACTTCTCTCAAAGCAGAGTTAGATTACAGTAAAGAAGCTAGTGGCCTGAACTAAGGACATGGGTTGCACAATTTTGGAGAGAGGAATCCTTGCTCATAACAACCATGTATGCATACGTTGTTTACCCAGGAGCTAAGAAGATTTTCAAACAATTAATGCATTTTCACTGCATGATCAATCAAGAAACAGCACACTTTTTTGTGCACAATAAAATAAACTTTTTCAATCTGTGGTACTGTAGCTCTGTTGTCATTCATCCCAATTTTTCAGACCAGTGAGCTACAGATCTGCAGCTTGGAAAAGTTATAACTGAATATCATAAATCATAGATGATAACTGTTCAAAGTCAAAAATGGCAACATTAGTCACCTTTCTATTTATAATCACAGAAATATCTTTTGGAACACTGATTAAAGAAGTAAAAATAATTTTTGTTAAAAAATGATGTGTTAAAAAATGAGGCAGAGAGACTAGAACAATTTTTTTATGCTTCCAGAGATTACCTTGGACCAAAGAGGTCAAATGGTAGCAGATTTTATAACACTCCCGAGTATATTTCATAATTTCAAATTGCTCAATTTGCATCTCGCTAAAATTTCCACTTATATGGTATAACTTTTCTAAAATGCAAAAAATACCAAGAGACCAAAAATCCACACAAATGTCATAATACAGACAATAGAGGTCATAAAATAGACTTCACAAAATGCAGTATATATCATTATTTTAATAACATCTTATATTGAAGTAATGCATATATACAGTAAATACATAGTATTTTTATGTATGTAGAGACTCAAAACTGATCAATCAATATTTAAAATGCAATGAATCATTTGATATAATGTACCGGTAACAATTAAAATAATAGAATTCTCACAAGTTTTAACCTTGGGAATATCAGTGGAAACACAGAAAGGAATGCTGTTACTTTCGCCTGTTCTTGAGACTCTCCAGGTACATTCCCAGTGATTTCTGAATGGCGTCCTTTGTGATGTAATCCCTGAAATAACCTATATCCTCCTCCTTCTTTTTGAGGAGTTTTTCTATCGTTGGTCGCCTGGCCTCGGTTTTACTTAACTGTCTGGCAAAAGCTTAATTAAAAAAAAAGAAATTGAAAAAATCTTGTGTTATTTAAAAAGAAAATTTAACAAAAAATATATTTTTTAAATGATAGAGCTATAGATACAAGATGTACTTATGAGGATGGAAGTTCCCTATAAACTTTTGTTTTGAACACATTTTATTAAATGAATCAAAATAATTGGAAATAAGTTCTTAGAACTTACTGGTTCTTCTCCTATAAACATGAATTATCATATCATAAAAAAGATCCCGTCATGTATCAGAAAATCCAACAAAAGACTCATGTGCCACATCACTCACCTGAACAAATAACAGAAATCAGTTCAGTATTGAAAGGATTAATTAAATATACTCCCACCTGCCCCAGGAGAAAGGGAAAGAGCAAAATTGGTTTACCATTCGATCTACGAGGGGTGATCAAAAAGTTCGCGAACTAATTGAATAACTTCCTTAAAAGAATCAATATTTGGTTTCAGTGTTGATTATATTTTTAATTAGTCCTCTCCTACTTTAATGTACATCAGCCACGGTTCTATGCATGCACGAATCACGTGATATTGGCAGTCACGTGACCCCCTCTGTAGCGTTTTGTCACAAAAGCTGAAAGATTTTTCTGAATTTTATATTTCATTCCATGTAAGTTAATTTTTATAACAAGAACAGTTTTTTTGTCAGAAAGGGTCAAATCTCGGCAACAGAATGGGTGGATAAGAATATCCTGTCCAAAAATAAGCATGGCAACCATTAAAACACAAATCTTCTGTCTCGGGAGAGACCTTTATTCAAGGTGGATAGAGAATGGGTGCATCCTTTTTATCATACCTAATATGTTTAAAATCTAAAGTACACGATATCTTAGGTATTTAATAATTATATCATTGTTGAAATATTCAACTTTTTTTCAAAGTGTAAATTGGAGGTCTTTGATATCAAATTGCTTAATTAAAAACATATATCTTTTGAAACTGGCTTTCAATGGGCAGCATGACAAGTGTCATTTTTAACCATCTGCCTTCCTTCACTAAAACGATCAATCCAATTATTGACTGAATTTATAGGAATTCATTTGTCTTAATAAACTGTACAAATTATTATATGCTACGGCAAAGGGATTTCTAAGATATACAATAAATTGTACAGTCGTTTGTTGAACGAGTTCGACTGAGACAACCATTTTTCGTCACAAGTGACCTACATAGTGACGTCATTTTCCCATTGTGACGTCACAAACAAGGAGCAAAACTTTATTCAGCATATGCTATTTATAGAACTTGTGTATGGTTATGTGTGTACCAAATTTCATTCTAATCTGATTGTGGTTTTGTAGATATAGAGATAGTTCGCGAACTTTTTGATCACCCCTCGTACACTAACTGAGGATGCTTCCATATCTCTTTAATTCATGGGTATTTTTCTGTATGTTTGAATCTTCACTACCTGAGGATGCTTCTGAATAAATACAACTAATCATGGACTTGTTATTCATGGGAAGAAAATTTCTAACAATTTCTTCTATGCATTTTTATCGGGGGGGGGGGGGTCACAATTTGAGCAAACTTGAAAAAAAACTATCAGAGGATGCTTTAGCTTAATATGTCTACTCATGGTGATGCTGTTCTTGAAAAGATTTTAAAGATTTCCCCTATATATTCTTATGTGAAACTGCTCACTCATGGTAACCCCATCCTAGACTCCCAAGGGTCATGATTTGAAAAAAAAACATAGGTAATCAGAGATTACAGAGCTCACCTCAACGAATGTTGCCTTTAAGTAAGGCAAAGTCACACAATTAACCAACCAAAAGTGTACATCCAAAAATGCAAAATTTATGCAATTTTGATTTGATACTTTGGAATAGACCTATATAAAAACTTTGAACTAGTTCTTCATCATGAAAACATAATTAAAATCCAGCATCTGAAGCAAGTTTGAGAGTTTTCATCCCTTGATGCATCATTTTTTGCAAGTTTGGTTTATATAAGCCTTATAGTTTCTTGGTAATAGACCTACACCCATAACTTTTACGAGGACCATTATCTGGAAAATGTATGTCGAATTCAGCATCTAAAGCAAGGCACTTAGTGTGCATCCTAAGATGTATCATCCATGCAAGTTTGCTCAACATAGAGCTCAAAGTTACTTGGAAATGAAACCTGTATAAAAAAACTAGCATTTTTACTAATCCAGAAAATGTTGGTCAGATTCAGCATCCGAAGCCAGCCTAGTAGAATGCACCCTAAGATTTACCATCCATGCAAGTTTGGTCATTATAGGGCTCAAAGTTACTTGGAAATGAATGAATCCGGGTCATTTCTCCCTAGTACCTGCTCCGCCTAGGTCATTTCCGCCCAGGTCATCTCTCTCCTGGGTCTTTTCCCTCCATTACCCAGGTCATTTCTCTCCACAACCTAGGTCATTTCACTCCAACACAACAATTATAGTGTAATAAGTTTAATTTTATTAAGTTTTGTTGATTACAACGCTGAATTTATCGCTAACTTTATTTATTTTGTTTCATCTTATTTATTTATTTATTAATTCACAGATGTATTTTTTATTTATTTATAACTTCACACATTTATTTTTTATTTTATTTATAATTTAAACATGTATGCATTCACTCATTTATTTGAATAATTATTTTTTTTAGAATTCTTTTATAATTTAATTCATTCCTTTATTTGTTAATTGTTTTGTATTAATTAATCAATTTATACAATCTTGAACTAGCTTTTCAAAAGGACAGAGGCACATGATTATTTATTATTATTCATTAATTCTATAGCTAAAACTTACTGTCTTTCTTTTTAATGGAATTAGCTGCAAAACTGTAGCTCTCTGAAAAATATGTATTGAAAGTGCGGTCTGTCAAAAAAAAAAAAAAATAAATTTGGAGAGCTACAGTTCTGCAGCTATAATGGATTATAGAATAACTTTAAATGCGATAATAGAAATATTTTATTTTAATCTTCTTTCTTTAACAATTAAATTCATTATCAATTAGACCTACAGTGAATTTGTTTATTGTCCTGTCTTCTGTCGTTTATGGTCTTTATCAGGAATAAATAAATAACTGTTAGAATTCGTAATTGCTGTCTTGCGGTTTTATGGTACCCTACAAGGTGTTTTTTTTTATCATCATGCTGGGTGAATATGTTTATCCGTAAATTGTCGATTTCACAGATTGACAACACAATATGTCCTTTAGTCTTTAGACAAAAAAATGTCAACTTGTACAAAGATGTGTTCAGTCAGATTATTATATAAATAAGAATTTGTTCCCACTTTTTATTAAATTGAATAAAAACTCATTTACATGTACTGTAATACTTCCTAGCGATCACAATTTTAGGCAAGATGACTAATCCTAAATGTATGCATTTTCACAATCAAGTAAATTTTAACTTTTTAGATTTCATTTTTTCTCCAAATTACACATCTTTTGTCTGTGCAACAGTGGCAGCCCTCCCCCCAACATTAACATGTTTATTAAAAGAACGTAAAATTAATGTACTTTTTAATTTAAAATGTCCCGATTGTTACAAACATTTTTCTGCATTATTTTCTCTTGCGTAAATATGTATGTGCATACATGTAAAAGACCTCTTAATGTCTCCTTGATAATGAAACGGAAGTATTGAACAGTCGAAAGATCATTTTAGCTAACATGAGATCGAGTCATATGTCTTTGCCCTTTCAAAAAGCTAGTTCAAGTTTATGTTATAGTTGGAATATTTTTGTTTGTACTTAAAATTTATGATCTCTGGTATAGCAATTGAAACTGAATGCCATGGATAAAATACGTATAAAAATGAGATGATTTTTTTAATTGAATCCAAGAATATGTAAACTTTTAGAGACAATAGATTATTTGACATCTACTGAGATTATCAAGATTACAAGTCCTGAACAAAATTTTATACAGTCCTGATAATGCATTCTCTATTTCATTAAAAATATTGTGGTAAACACAGCAGATTACATTATATTAAAAAGGGAGGTGGGTTTAAATAATTTTTCTTACATTAGATTCATACATGTAAGAATCGTTTTAATGGTGCAATATGCTAGTACTTTAAACATATTAAAATTTACTAGCCATTTCCGGCGAAGTTGTGGAGGTGTATTGCCACACCGAATAAATTCCTTTTCAATGTCTTATAATTCATTTTTAAGAGATATTTTTTCCGTTTACATTCCCGTTAATTCAAGTGGTTTGGATACTTTGTTAATCTTGTATACCTTGAAAATATTGTCATATTGATAGCATTTTTACGTCCACTGGCGTTGGAAGCAAATTGAAAGTAGGGGGGGCTAAGTGTAAAAAAAACATTGTGTACCTTCCAAAAAATCCTGACAAGCAAAAAAAAAAGGGGGGGGGGGAAATGTCCATTTCCCAAACACAAAAATCCTATTTCGCGCGTGTGTGTGTGTGTGTGTGGGGGGGGGGGGGGGGGGGTTAGGAACTTCAGTACCAAAATTTCTTTTCCAAGTTTACACCACCATTTTCCCCAGTTTCAGCCTATACTAAGAGGATCTGTGGAAAGTGGGGGGGGGGGGGGGCTAAACCAACGAAGATATATTCAATGTCTATACTAAGTATATACATGTATTTGGAAAAAAAGTGGGGGCTAAGCCCCCCCCCCCCCCCCCCCCCCCCCCCCCGGTTCCAACGCCTATGACGTCATTATTTTCTTCGTGTTCTCATTATTTATAGTTTTATAATATAATCAAAATAAATATTGGTAAATATTTACAAACTTTTACTGTGTACCTGGTTTCATAATATATTTTTTGAAGTATCCTTTTTTTTTCTAAAAAAAATTTTCTTTTTTTTTAGCTGCAGAACTGTAGTTTTCCAAAAAGAAAATGTATTGAACCGATCTGTCAATATATTTCTTTTCGGAGAGCCATGTTCTGCAGCTATTATTCTATGTCATGTCTATTTTCTCCCTTTTTTCTCCTAAGATCAAAATTGACAAATACATGTAATTTAAAACTGTTTTATTTTTATTCCAACGTATTTGTATCGCCAAACAAAATCAATCAATAAAAGCAACATTTTTTGTATTATTTTTCTAAGATTCGAGTTTGATCAGTAGCTATATAATATTCAGATTATAGAAAAAACTTCATCATCGGCTATGGTAAAAATTAATTCTTTTAACAAATTAATTTATTTTAATTGAGTTTAATTTTTTCTTTCAAATACCCTTAACAGAGGAGGCCTCCATGTAGCAAGGGCTGGACAATGGTATCAATTTATTTTCATTAATATCAAATATCAAGTTGATAAAATTAATTTATTTTACGAGACAAAAGTTAATAACACAAGAATGGAAATGTAAATACATTATATAAGTCCAGATAAAAAATGGGGTGAAATGACCCAGGAAGGAGAGAGAAATGACCTACCGTGAAATGGTAGGAGAGAGAAATAACCTGGGAGAGAAAAATTTTTAGAGAGAAATGACCTGACACCAAATGAATCCTACACCAAAAACTTTAACCTGTTCACTCGTCCAGAAAATGTAGGTCAGATTCAGCATCCAAAGCAAGTCTGGTAGTATGCATCCTAAGATGTACCATGCATGCAAGTTTGGTCATTATAGGGCTCATAGTATCTTTGAAATGACACCTGCACCAAAAACTTTAACATGTTCACTCAACCGGAAAATGTAGGTCAAATTCAGCATCCGAAGCAAGTCTGGTAGTATGCATCCTTAGATGTATCATCCATGCAAGTTTGGTCACTATAGTGCTCATAGTTACTTGGAAATGAGACCTGCACCAAAAACATAAACCTGTTCACTCCTGCAGAAAATGTAGGTCAGACTCAGCATCTGAAGCAAGCTTGGTAGTGTGCATCCTAAGATGTACCATCCATGCAAGTTTGGTCAACATAGGGCTTAAAGTTACTCAGAAATGAGACCTACACCAAAAACTGCACCAAAAATGTTAACCTGCTCCAAAAACATTAACCTGGTCATTCCTTTGCTGAAATTGCAGCATCTGAAACTTTGACTGGTACAATGAAACACACTAGAAACATCTTCCATGCATGTCTAATCAATAGAGGACATAGAAGTACTTAAAATGAAAACTGCTCCAAAAAACTTAACCTTAACCCGGGACGCCGACACCGACGCCAAGGGTATTATATAAGCTCTCCCAACTTCGTTGAGGTGAGCTAAAAATGGATTCTACACTAGCAAAGGATGTTTTCAATTTTCTATAAATATCAGCAAACATCCCTTTACTATTTTTGAGAGGAAGTTTTTAAAGATTATTACTGTTTTCTTTGAATAATCTTGATTGTCCATTATACTCCCACCCTAACTTATGGGATCATGATTTGAATAAATTTGAATTTAACCTATGTCAGTTAGCTTTCACATACTGTAGAAGTACTTTTTTCCGCGTGTATTAATTTATGCTATGTACGCGGTCACAAACTTTCCGTGGAAATTTGTCCAAGCGTACTTAATATAAATATAAGGCATATAGTGACAATCTAGAAAATCCGCATAATTTTCTACCCGCGAATTAAACAGAAATTGAGATTCCGCGGAATTATGACCCCGTGGAAAAAAGTACGTCTACAGTAAGTTATATCTTTTCTTGCCCAGTGGCTCTTGAGAAGATTTTTAAAATGAACCCATCCAATTTTTACCCTTTTCTTAATTATCTCCCCTTGAAGCATTGTGACACTTCCTTTGAGCAATTTTCAGTCCCCTTCACTAAAACCTGCGTCAGTTTTGGTTCAAATTGGCCCAGTAGGTAGAGAAGATGAGAAATGGTGAAAAGTTTATGACAGCAATGAGGACAACTTCAACAACAACAGACATCAGCCAAATTTTGATCAGAAAAAAAAAACCTTTATTTGATAATCTTATCCTCCTTCAGTACTTACAAGGATTTTTCAAACTTTTTAAATACTTGCTATGAATTTTTACCCTTTTTCAGAACTTCAGGAATTTTTAATCTCTTTCACAACTTACCAGGAATTTTTAACCATCTTTCCATTTCTAGCTTGGCAGCATTAAGAACTTCGTCTTGAGGAACAACCTTGTCAATGAGGCCGATATTTAAGGCCTCCTCTGTCTTGAACAGAGTGCCCAGCTGAAGGGCCATTTCTGTTTGTCTGAATCCTACTGTGTTGAACATAGCATCAGCAAACCTGTAAAAAAAACATTTTATTTTACATGTAACATTGGGAAAGTAATCAGACTTAATGACTAGAGTTATCTTTCTTTGCCCAGAAATCATACATACCAGAATGGTGCTACAATTCCCTGAAACATGAAAACAGTTGAAATGTTACAATAATTCCAGTAGTCTCCTACACCTATACATATATACCAGTATCTGGAAAATTCTTCTAAAGTCCTTTCACATGGTATTAATTTACAATAGGCTAAAGATGCATAACATTTTGTGATTTTTATAGAGGTGTACTTTATTAATATTTAAGAATTATTTGTATGTATAAGTACTTCTTTATCAGTATGTTAGAATGATCTTACCAGCTGTGTTTCATTTAATCCTATGGTATAGTTAGGTGCCATCACTCTGTAGTCACAACTAATAGACATTAGACAACCACCTGCTGGGCTGTGTCCCTGTCAAAGTCAAATCATAGTCATGTGTACTAGTCGCAAAAGTATAAAGGCCTAAAACTTGTTACATGTAATCCTGGCAGTTTAAAAATCTAACTAACAAGCAAACTTAATTTTTTAAAATTTAAAATGTAGGAAATATAGACAAAGTTATACACTAACATTAATTGCAGCTATGGTAACTTTACTCATTCCATAGAGTTTGATCCACATGTCCTGGAGTGTTCGCCAGAATTCCTGTAGCCTGTCAATGTCAGGTTGGTACATCTCTGTGATATCTAGACCAGCACTGAATATCTTAGGGAGACTCTATAAAACAGAAGTGTTACACTGAATATCTTAGAGAGGCTCTACAAAACAAAGAAGTGTTACATTGAATATCTTAGGGAGACTCTACAAAACACAGAACTGTTAAAATGAATATCTTAGGAAGGCTCTACAAAACAAAGACTATTACCTGGGGCTGACAAATAGATTTTTAAGGCTCTTGTCCAAGGGCAAGTACATGGTCAAAATTCACTTGCACTACATGAATTTTTGCTTGCCCTACCATAAACTAAAACTGCATTTATAAATATTTTTAAAAAGAGGAAGACAATGCTGAGTAGATCATGCAGGCCCCTATACCCAGTTTTAATTTTATGGCTTACATATTGATTTTATTTTTGATACATAACTTGTCCATGGGCAAGTGATTTGATAAAATTTCACTTGCCCATCCCTAAAATTCACTAGCTCTGGGAGTCAGGCAATGGGATTTGTCATCTTCTGTATTACACTGAATATCTTAAATGAGAATGGAATTGAGTTCATGCCTATTCAAATGATCTAAAAATACTTACCAATATTTCACCTGCCATATGCAATAAAATGATATGTAACTTACTGATGTGATTATGAGTCCTCTACATTGCTTGTCATTTTCTACTTTTTCCAGAGTGATGTTGAGTTCTGTGAGAAAATCTAAGTTTAGACTGTTTACTGGTGGTTTGTTCATCGACAAAACTGCTACTCCTGTAAGTAAAGAAATAAAATGATATGCATGATTGAATTCTACGAAGAGGCCAGTGGGTTCACTTTTCACTTTCTATTAACACAGATATTAAATGTAACCTTTTATGGTTTGACTTGTGTTTATTTTTTACCCAGTACACGTGCAACTGATATTCATATACAGGTGTACCATGCTTCATGAAATATTCCTAATTGTGAAATAACTGTCGGATTTACACATTTCACACTCTCAAATTAAAAAAAAACAACTTAATTTTGTGTGGCCTTACTTGTGACAATGACATCTCTTATTGGCCTCACCTGTTTTACTGTCCACATTGAAGTCCAGTGAGGACCCAGCTCCTGTGACATTCCTTTTGCAGACTCGGTGTAAAGGAACATTTTTTCTCAAGCACTGCCGAGCAATACAAAAGCCTGGAAATAAGATAAAATACAGTCAAGAAGCTCTTCAAAGATCTTCATTATGTTTGATATTATTTTTAAAAAAATACTTTTCAAACTAATTCCCTTCACTGCTGCTTCAAAGCATTTTATTTTATAGAATATTGCATATTAAAAGTAATATGTCATTGATTTTGTCATTTGTATTTTTTCATAAATGTAATCAAATACTGATTGACATTTAACAGGTTGGGATCAATCGCCCGAATGGGATATAATAGTCCGTTTGGGATATAACATCCCAAATGGGCTATAAATTGACGGTGCAAAAATTGAAAAATTTTATTTTGGCAATAAATATAATAAATCCGCATCAGGACACTTGAAAACGAATAACTTTTGGTTGACAAGTTTTTCTGTATGTCCATTGTTTAGGAGATTGATCCCTCGGAAGTTCCATAACTTCTTGGGGATCAATCTTACAAACTGTAGGGTTGCAGAAAAACTTGCTTACCAAAAGTTATTCCTTTTTAAGTGTATTGATGCGAATTTATGATATTTATTGCCAAAATAATTTTTTCAATTTTTGCACTGTAAATTTATATCCCATTTTGGATATTATATCCCAAACGGACTATTATATCCCAATTGGGCGATTGGTCCCAACCTGTTTAACCCTGTTGATTTTAGCAGACTTGGCCCCAATGCCATTCTGTCAGACCTTTGCAAGCTTAAGGACTTTGTACAGTGCAGATGCCATTTACTGCAGGTCAGAATAAATGTTATTTTTGCTGGAAATCATTGAAGTGCGTCCTCTTTGCTTAGGTAAAACACTCCTAAGACATGAACCGATTACCTGAAGTTACTAGCCCGAGTCTCATCTTAATCAACCAGTCTCAGTGGCGATTCTATCTTGTCAACATGTTTACAAGACTGTCCAGAGTTGTTTCCCTTTGGAGAGAGCACTAATTGCAGCAACCTTCGTTTTATATAAGAGACGGTGTTTATGTACAAGTACTTTGTCCATGCTTAGAAAATGAGGATATTTTTATATATGTGGAAATATAGAATAAAGACAGCAAAACAGATATTTATTTAAATACAACGCTTTTCAATTACATACTTTATTTTCTCTTTACATTTCCTGTAATTAGGATACTCTGACGTCGCCCTGCATTTCTCCTACACGTGGGTTTATAAAACAACCGGCAAAATTCTTTTCAGAAGGGTATATACAGGATTTGTCAGGCGTCTTTCGACCATGCCAAATCCTGAGTGTTTCTTCGACGTCACGATCGACAAAAAACCGGCTGGCCGCATTTGTTTTGAGGCAAGTATAGATGTGATCACGCCAATGCTTCATGAAATGTCATTTACAGTATACCTGAGCTTAGATATGGCAAGAAATTGGTACTGCGTTTTTAGGTGATACTTTTGTACCCTAGGGTACACCCTTATTAAATGTATGAAGAAAAGGTTACAAAAAGGGTACACTATTTATTCCTACTGAAAACGAAAGTAGATGCTTCCCAGTGGAAGGAAGACTGTAACATCTATATAAGTAAAATTAAAAATAATGTAGCCGATGCTCAGGGTACAGTGGGTACAAAGGGTACACATGGGTACAGCAGGTTACAACACTATAAGAAATGGATACAAGGGTTAAGAAGGCTGATTCAGAAATTTTCTAAGTTAAAATTAAAAATAATGGAGCCGATGCTCAGGGTACAGTGGGTACAAAGGGTACACATGGGTACAGCAGGTTACAACACTGTAAGAAATGGATACAATGGTTTAGAAGGCTGAAATTTTCTAAGTAAAAATTTTAAATAATGTAGCCGATGCTCAGGGTACAGTGGGTACAAAGGGTACACATGGGTACAGCAGGTTACAACACTATAAGAAATAGATACAAGGATTTAGAAGGCTAAATTTTCAAAGTTAAAATTAAAAATAATGAAGCGGATGCTCAGGGTACAGTGGGTACAAAGGGTACACATGGGTACAGCAGGTTACAACACTATAAAAAATAGATACAAAGGTTTAGAAGGCTGAAATTTTCTAAGCTAAAATTAAAAATAATGGAGCTGATGCTCAGGGTACAGTGGGTACAAAGGGTACACATGGGTACAGCAGGTTACAACACTATAAGAAATGGATACAAGGGTTTAGAAGGCTGAAAATTTTTAAGTTAAAATTAAAAATAATGGGGCTGATGTTCAGGGTACAGTGGGTACAAAGGGTACACATGGGTACAGCAGGTTACAACACTATAAGAAATGGATACAAGGGTTTAGAAGGCTGAAAATTTTTAAGTTAAAATTAAAAATAATGGAGCCGAAGCTCAGGGTACAGTGGGTACAAAGAGTACACATGGGTACAGCAGGTTACAACACTATAAGAAATGGATACAAGGGTTTAGAAGGCTGATTCAGAAATTCTCTAAGTTAAAATTAAAAATAATGAAGCTGATGCTCAGGGTACAGTGGGTACAAAGGGTACACATGGGTACAGCAGGTTACAACACTATAAGAAATGGATACAAGGGTTTAGAAGGCTGAAATTTTCTAAGTTAAAATTAAAAATACTGGGGCTGATGCTCAGGGTACAGTGGGTACAAAGGGTACACATGGGTACAGCAGGTTACAACACTATAAGAAATGGATACAAGGGTTTAGAAGGCTGAAATTTTAAAAGTTAAAATTTAAAATAATGTAGCCGATGCTCAGGGTACAGTGGGTACAAAGGATACACATGGGTACAGCAGGTTACAACACTATAAGAAATGGATACAAGGGTTTAGAAGGCTGAAATTTTCTAAGTTAAAATTAAAAATAATGAAGGGGATGCTCAGGGTACAGTGGGTACAAAGGGTACACATGGGTACAGCAGGTTACAACACTATAAGAAATAGACTGATACAAGGATTTAGAAGGCTGAAATTTTCTAAGTAAAAATTTTAAATAATGTAGCCGATGCTCAGGGTACAGTGGGTACAAAGGGTACACATGGGTACAGCAGGTTACAACACTATAAGAAATGGATACAAGGGTTTAGAAGGCTGAAATTTTCAAAGTTAAAATTAAAAATACTGGGGCTGATGCTCAGGGTACAGTGGGTACAAAGGGTACAAAGGGTACACATGGGTACAGCAGGTTACAACACTATAAGAAATAGATACAAGGGTTTAGAAGGCTGAAATAGTTAGAATTTAAAATAATGTAGCCGATGCTCAGGGTACAGTGGGTACAGCAGGTTACAACACTATAAGAAATGGATACAAGGGTTTAGAAGGCTGAAATTTTCTAAGTTAAAATTAAAAATAATGAAGGGGATGCTCAGGGTACAGTGGGTACAAAGGGTACACATGGGTACAGCAGGTTACAACACTATAAGAAATAGACTGATACAAGGATTTAGAAGGCTGAAATTCTCTAAGTTAAAATTAAAAATAATGTAGCCGATGCTCAGGGTACAGTGGGTACAAAGGGTACACATGGGTACAGCAGGTAACAACACTATAAGAAATGGATACAAGGGTTTAAAAGGCTGAAATTTTCTAATTAAAAATTTTAAATAATGTAGCCGATGCTCAGGGTACAGTGGGTACAAAGGGTACACATGGGTACAGCAGGTTACAACACTATAAGAAATGGATACAAGGGTTTAGAAGGCTGAAATTTTCAAAGTTAAAATTAAAAATAATGGAGCTGATGCTCAGGGTACAGTGGGTACAAAGGGTACACATGGGTACAGCAGGTTACAACTCTATAAGAAACAGATACAAGGGTTTAGAAGGCTGAAATTTTCCTGCATTGAGCAAGGTTTAAATTTAGTCAAACATCTGTTTTTGTCTTGGTGCACGAGCAAAATCCTTTGGTGCACGGGGTTTGAAGTTAGGGAGGAATGACAGAAAATAACTTAAACAAGTTATTATTTTATTGAAGCTTTTTTGGAAAAATAGCATGTTTGAGTTACTAAGGCTGGGAAGAAGTAGGTCATAGCAAAGAGAAGTAACTCATTGAGACAAAAAAATAACTCATTTGAGTTATTTTTGAAAATAAATTGTTCAAGTTATGCCCCTGACTGATAATGTGACTGATACTTTAAGGTCTACTAGGCCGATGTGGACCCATATCTTGGGGCATCGCTCACACTACAGATTACCTCCAATTACCACTACGTCTATGGCCACCGGCAGGGAAATGTGAATATGATTTTGGAAACCCGTGTCAAAAAAGCCGTGCCGTATACCATATACGGCGTCACAGGATCTGTGAATTTGTTTAGATCTAGGTCATGGCCTTTAGAAAATCCCCAGATGTAACTGTGGATGCCAAAATGGTGACTGAAACTAAACTAACCTCCCATTGCTTTACATTAATGCTTAGTTTTAGAATTTTGAAATTTAAAAATCTTACATGAATATGTCCATTTACTTTCTGTTAAAGATTTACTTTATCAGTTACAATCCATGCTTAGTTTTAAATTAAGATTTTAATGATAATGTGCAATATTCAATTGTAATTTAATCTAGTAGCTAATTAAGTTTGCACAATCTGAGAAAGAATTTAGTTAAAATAAAACTTTCACTAAAACAGTGATGTCACAAAATATAAACTATAAAGGATTAGTGAAAGTCATTCAAATTAACCTAAACTCTTTCATCATGTTCATTGTCAACATTGCAATACAGGAAGATCATGAAAATTGAAAAATTGACTTATTTATTCTAGATTACACTTACTGCATTTACTAGTAGTTCAAAAGTGATGAAATTATCCCAGACTGACATATATACAATTCCATGCAACTTAAACATCTATTAGTTTAATATTCTTTAACTAGAGTAAAAAAGACACATTCTTTGCTCATGACCATGAATCCCTCCAATTTCATATTCAAATAAAGGAAGTTATGATTGAGCATGCTCAGTAAAAAGCCGTGAGATATATAAATAAATAGTTTTAAGCAAAACCCGCCAGAGTTAAAAACCCTCAACCTGGGACATGGATTCTGTGCCTCCACACGGGTTTCTGTGAGTATAAGGATTCCTCACTTTCAGACACAGAAGCTGTGTCCATGTCTTGGACATGCAGAACCCATGCGTCTTTTCAAAATCCCGTGCGGATTCCGTGTCTTAGCCAAGCCCAAGCTGTGCCTATTCCACCTCGAACTTTTGTACAGGAAGTTTTGAAGAGGCTGGGGTTTTTTGCCATTTTAGCTCAGCTGAGCTGAAAGCCATTAAAAAATCATATTCTCAAGAACCAATGGGTCAGAAAAGCTGAAACTTATGTGGAAGCATCCTGGGGTAGTGTAGATTCTAAATTGTTCAAATCTAGACCCCTTAGGGTGGGGCCATAGCGAGTTGTATAACATTGCATTGCAAAAACCTAAAAGCTTCTTGAGATATGAATTAAATTACTTCAATGCCATGAAAATTAACTGATCAGAAATTTATACCCACATAATGTATAAATTGATAATCTTGACCTTTCAATTAATGTTTTCAGCCAAAATAAGAAGTCTCCTTATATTAGACCAAAAGAGTTATGGTATGGGATCGGGGGATTATCCCCACTTTCAAAGGACTTGAACAGAAGTATGTTTTAACTTTGCGAAGTTTGCTGCTAGAACTAAGCATACACAGACACACCCTTTCAAAACTTCTTCCCTTCCGGGCACATTACATTTGTATTTTTTTTAGGGATGGCAATTTGTAACCGGTTAACCGATTATTCAGTCGGAACGATTGCAATCGGTTAGAAAATCTGTAATCGGTTACTCGGAAAAAATAAAATTTATGTAATTTTGAACCAAATTTTGATAGAAATTCATTTTTGAAAAAAAAAACTTTGGACAAATGTTGATAATTCAGCATTTTCAGAAGCTGACTTGGATGTTATTATCATTCTCCGGATTGATATTATAAGGTAATTAGCCATTGTGTGTTTGAAGTGATAATTACTGTTAAAACACCGCAAGTCGTTACCCTGACTGTCCTGTATTTCTTTAATGATGATTAAATCACCGTCGAGAACTGAGATTTAGTATGTTTGTTTTTTCACAGTCATCTATCGAATAAATTGCTAAACAAACTTTGTAAATCAAGTGATGAATACTAAGTATTAATTATGGTGACAACACAACTGGTGACAACTGGGAAAATATCAAATGAATGATTTAATTCTCAGACATGATTTTTGCTTTTCTTAATTTTTCCCTATTCTTTTTAAAAAGTCAAGTACAATTACAGTATTATATATGTAGATTTTATCAGTCTTTTTGTGTATACAATAGATCTACATACTATTTACATCAAGAAAATGC